TCTTTCTATGCTTGGAATTCTGCAGGTTGTGCTCTTCCTGCCTTCTCAGTGGGTTGAGGTTCCTTCGGCCCTTCTCTCTTTGCCTATTCTCTACGTTGGCCCATGTGTGACCTCTTTGTATGCTTGCTGTTTGCCTTTATTCGTCTTTCACCACCTTTTCTCGGCTTCAACACCTAAATGCCGAGAAAATAGCATAAAAGAAAGGACACAAAAAAGTGGAGGGCTCAGAGGAGCGGGTCTCCTCCCTCTTTGAGCAGCTGCACATATAGGAGCATCATAGTTACATTTATCATCTCCAGTACGTGAAGACAAACCGTGGTTGGAGGGAATACACTGCACTAAGAAAATACAGCAGTGTTTTTTTTTCCGAGTTTTACTGTATTTTACTTTTCTTCCCCCCGCTTTGTGCCCCATGAGCGACGTGGCCGAGTGCATCCGGCGCCTAAGGGGCGCCGGTCAGGATCATATCCTGGATATTCTTGAGCATGGCAACGAAAAGGACCGATCGGCGCTGGTCAAGCAGCTGACGGTGGAACTTCATGGCGTGGATTTTTACCACCTCAACCATGTCCTGCGCCAGAGCCTGGAGCACTGCGCGGATCACAACAGCACCGCTGAGATGGAGCCACCGCCAGATAACTTTTTGTTTGACGCTCTTGAGGCACGGCGCAGCGGAGACAAATGCGTTGGGGAGCTGGAGAAACTTGGTTATGAGGCTATTCACGCCGGACGTGTGGCATTTCTTATCTTGGCAGGTGGCAGCGGGACTCGACTTGGCGCGACTGTTCCCAAAGGCCTCTTCACGTGCAAAGGGCTTCGTGAAGGGAAGTCGTTGTTTCAAATTCACAGTGAGAAAATACTCCGACGCGAAGAGCTTGCGACCTCCCGCTGCGGAGGTGCTCCCTCGGCAAAGATACAGCTCCTGGTGATGACTTCTACACAGAACGATGAGCAGACACGGCGGTTTTTTCAAGAGGCGAACTACTTTGGGCTTGCGGAGGAGCAGGTGCACTTCTTCCTGCAAGCGTCTCTTCCCTGCTACGACGAAGACACGGGAAGAGTCCTCATGGAGTCCTCCAATCGCATTTCTGCTGCACCAGGCGGGAACGCCGGGGTGTATCCGGCGTTAATGAATGTTCCTCAGGGTGCGAAGGAGTCACTGATGCAGCGGTTGGAGCGTCTTGGCGTAACGTACGTTCAGATTGGAAACGTGGACAACCTGATTACCAAGGTTGCCGACCCATTGTTTGCCGGGTACGCCCTAAAGGAGGAGGCACATGTCGTGGTAAAGGCATGTCCAAAGGCCAGGCCAGACGAGGCCGTGGGTGTTTTTGCGCGTGTCCGCGAAAAATGGGGGGTGGTAGAGTACACTGAAATTGGTGAGAGGGCGGCGGAGGTGCACGCTGCAACTGGGGAACTCAAGTTTAACTGTGCAAATATATCATCCTACATATGTAGCGTTCGCTTTCTGCAGCTTGCGGCCGATCGTATGAAGTCCTTTACGCGGTACCACGTCGCACGTAAGAAAATACCAACCGTAAATGGTCCGACGCTGGGGATCAAACTGGAGGCGTTCATTTTTGATCTCTTTCGCTATGCCAAGGAGTGTGTGAACCCAGCCGTGGGGGGCGGTGACGGCTTTCGCATTATGCAAGTGGATCGCAGTGAAGAGTTTGCCCCCATTAAAAATGCGGAGGGAGCAGCAAGTGACACGGCGAGTGATGCGTCGCGGCTCTTGTGGACGCTACACACGCGATGGTTGTCTGCGGCGCTCAGCTCCGCTTCCGCGGGAGGGGGCGAGGACGCCCAAGCCGCAGCGGCGGCACTTGCGGCGCTGCGGCGCAAAAAGGTAGCTGTGGAAATATCACCGCTTGTATCAAGCGAGGGGGAAGGCCTGAAGCCGTACCTGCCATGTGTGGTACGTGAACTTCTAAGTGATTCCTGCGACCGGGTCGTTATTCGGCGGCCGGACGAGGCCCCGCGGAACCCCTCAAACGTCTAGAATGTAGCGACAAACACGCTAGAAGCAGGAAGGGGGGGGGGAAACATGTGAAGCTCCTACCTCTTTTATGTATCTCTTTTTTCTCTCCGTTTTTTTTTTTGCTTCCCTTAAAGTTGTTTTATTCCTCGCTGCTCTTCTGTGTGTTACGCGGGCAGCATCGTTGTTGTTGTTTTTTTTTACATGTTGGCGTTTCTCTTATTTTCCCTTTGATGCGTCTGGGAAGGCACGAACACGAGCTGATCCCCCGCGAGCGTCTGTTACAATGACGGGAGACCCTCATGGTTCCGTTGTGCGTGTGTGTGCTATTTCCTCCCGCTCCTCCTCCCCTCGGTTTCTTTCTTTTCTTTTCCTTTTCCCGCCCTGCATTGCGTTAGGCTTCTGCGGCGGCGATCACGTCGGGGGCATCCACGCGTGCAATTTTGTTTCTGACGAAGCAGCGAAACTAACGGCAGAGGCGTGAGGCTAAAAGGGGAGGAGCGATGAAGCCTCAAGGGGAGGGCGCTGGTGGGAGGACGGTCCTCAGGCATGCGCGGAAGAGTGCAAACCTGAGCCGCCAGAATGTCCTGCTGCTGCGGCGTCAGGCGATGGCGGTGAAGCGGCAAAAGGCAGAAATGCAGAAGGCCGAGATGAAGAAGGCGGCGTTAAGGCGCATTCAGACGGCGCAGAATAAAAAGACGCACAAGACATTTGACCACAACATTCTGCGATGTGTGCAGGGCGGGCTGGTGGAGTCGATTGAAAGCCTCGGCGAGACCGTTAGTCCACTGTCGCTCTTTATGGCCGCCTTTACCACCCTCTCACGGTCTCCAGAGAAGCACCATATTCCATACATTCTTGCAATCGCTTCCGCCTGCGCCCCCCGCCTGAGTCAAGGCATCTTGCTGCATCAGCTCGATTCTGCCATTACGTTGACGGAGCAGCTTATCGCGGAAAATGTGGCAAGCAATTATCTTATTGTGGTCAAGGCAATGAAGTTTGCCCAACAGTTGATGCTTTCCTTCCACACACCGTCAATGAAGGTACTCTCAGCTTTTTCTCGCCTGGAGCCGAGCAAACTACAGGTGGACACTATGAAAATGTACATGGTGACCTTTCGCAAACTGCTGGAGCATGCGGCGCTAAGCGAGGCAACTTCTTTGTCAAGTTCACTTCCCGTTCGTGATGCAAACACAGGTGTCTACGTACTAGGGGCGAGCCAAAAATTCTTTGTAGAGGCTTTGCCGTTTTTTGTAAAATTGTGTCTCGCCAACTTCACAGACGCGCCTGTTAGTCTTGTGTCATCGACGGCGTCAGAGCTCGCCGGGCTGTTCCAGCGCACACTCTCACCGTACCTTGTGGAGTCGCTGGAGGGACGTGAGATGATTGACGGCATCGTTTCCACCCAGCTTTTGGAGCTGCTAAAGCCCCACTGCCAACTCTACTGGGGGTATGCCCTCGAAGTAATGGAGGCTCTCTTTAGCCGGCTGAATTACCTGAAGCGCACACCTGCTGGGGACGCAATGCCTTTTACGCGGCGCTTTCCTTCCTTCCCATTTCTGCTTCGCGTGCTTAACAAGCTGCGCGCCATGGACGACTCGAAACTAAATGGGAAGATTGAGCGGGTGATGGTGGCCCTTGGAAAAGGCATGCGTGTCCAGGAATTTGTGGAGATCATCCCGTTTGACCCTCGGCAGGCGCACGACGCCGAGCTCCACGCCATCGGCGCCGCTGCTGAGGAGGATGCGTGGGCCAATAGTTATGTGCTCAACGTCCTCCGACGCATTGCGTCGCATGATTCGCTGCCTTTTTTTGTTGAGCACTTTTTCCCACTTATTCAGTTCACTCGCAGTGTTGCCTTGGAGTATGAAAAGCAGCAGCGCGTAGAACTCTCCACCAAGTGGACAGTGCTACTGCAGCAGTACTGGCGTGTGGGAGTCGGTTTTTGCCACTATCCGCGAACCATCACAAGGGAGTCCTTTCGTGACGTTGCGAGGCAGTTGGTGGGCCTCATGTCGCATCCGCTCTTTGTGGACACCGGTGCAACCGCCCTGCACGTCCTCTGTGAAGGCTACCACGAGCTCGCGACGACGGAGTCGATGGAGGATGACACGGATGAAACTGCGAGCGACAACAACGCTGAGGATGGGGAAGGGCGTTTGGAGGATGATCAACGGGAAATCGTCACACGGGGGAAGCGTGCACGGCCGCCTAAAAACAGTCTTGAAGAGGACACGCACTTTCTCTCCCTGAACGATCCTGCCTGGAACCGCCACGTCTATCATGGCATCTCGCAGGAGTCCGCCAAGGATGTGTGCGAAAACATTATTCCGAAGTTCAGCGCCAATATTATGCCGAAACTTTGTAACACGTTTGAGAGTCACGAGTCGACGGCTGTCTTGTTGGCAATTCAGAGTTTCTCACGCGTTTGCACAGTGGATGTGATGCAGGTCATATTGAAGGGCATTCTGGATCTTGGCACAAAAATTGCGCTGCAGACGCAAGAGAAGGATCTTGCTGCGGTCAAGAAGTCCAACCACACACCGTTGACAGGAAAACGTCGCATGGTACTTGACATCTCGTGCGCCGTCATCGCCCAGCTTCCTGCGGAACATGTTGTGACGCTTTTCAATGACATCATTGAGCCCGTTTTGATGGATCCGGCTCCCGAGTCTCGCTTGCTGCAGAAAAAGGCGTACAAGCTTTTGTTTGCCATGTTTGAGCATCGCATCAAAGACATTTTTCCACTATTCCCCCGCATCGCTGGAGTTCTCACTGTTGGACGACAAAATGTCACAATTTCTGGCATTAAAATGCGGCTGCGGTGTCTTGTGTGGGCTCTTGACGCCTGCAAGATGTACTACCCAGAGCAGATTCTCCCAATGATTCGGGCAACTGTGGGGGAAACCATCCTGCTTTCCCGTGAGCGTTCTAGCGAGACACGTGCCGCCTCGATGGATCTTCTAGAAAAGATGCAGCGTTACCTCGTCAGCGCTGGTAACCCGGTGAATATGCTTTTGCACCTGGTGCTTGCCGGATTTTCAGGGAAGACGCCATGGATGGTTTCCAGCACGGTGGTGGCCATGGCCAAGCTTGTGTACATCACCCATCAGGAATTGCCTGAGGCGGACCTTGACGCCGCTATTGCGCTGGGGCTGCGCATGATGGAGTCCGACGCGCCGGATGTTAGGTCTGCGGCAGCCATGTTTGCACGGATGGTGTTGAAGCTCATGAAACGATCTCGACGCGTTGCCGCAGCGATGGAAAAATCGCTGCCCAAGCTGCTTCTCGCCATTGCTCTCACGACCTCCCAGCCACGTGTTTCTAGCAACATTCGTCTGCAGATGCGCGTGCTGCTTGAGAAATGTATCAAGCGTTTTACTTTTGAGCGTCTGGAGCCCATCTTCCCCGTCGGTTCGAAGAACTTCCTTCGCTACACACAGAAGATGATGCGACGGGAGCAAAAGAAGGAAGAACGGGAGCTCAAGAAACGTGCAGATGAGAAGAAAAATGAGTTTGATCGCCTCTTCCTCGGGGCTGCGATGAAGGCCGGCGCTGAGGATGATGCAGAGCGCGATTTGCTGCAGGCGGGTGCCTTGACAAGCTTTGTGGCTGCGTATGCCTTGCCCTCCTTTGCCGCGGCAGCGGACGCCGAGGACAGCGGGGATGAGCTTGACAACATGCACCTCGAGTTCCAGGACGGCAAGCTGCATATCATGAGCATCGAGGAAAAGCGCCAGCAGGTAGAGCGTCAGCGTCGACAGGAAATGGCCAATCGCCTGCTACATCGCGGGAGTCAGCTGGCGCATGCGGACTCCCTCAACGAGCGGGCGTTGGGCGTGCGCGGCAAGCGCTCTCGGGTGGAGGCCGAGGACTTCGAGAACGACGAGCTCCTGCTTCGCTACGGCAACAAGATAAACGGCGAGTCGGCCCAAACCACGATATCCGCGGCGCAGTCCCGCGTTGGCCCCGGGATAAACCAAATTGAAAAGCTGCGAGACCAGAAGCTTGAACGGCGGGAACTGAAGCGGATGCGGGTGGAGGAGGATATTCGCAAGGGCGAGGAGTTCAAGGGGACCGGTGAGGGCGACGTGCGGCGGGGCAACTTGGCGCCGTACGCCTACATCCCGCTCAACCGGCAGTACATGAACAAACGCCACCAGCGTGAGGCTCTGCAGCGGCTCATGACGGTCGCCCATCCACACGTGAAGGGAAACAAGGCCAAACTTGCCAGCCGCGCCAAAAAACGCCGCAGCAAATGAAAGCCACCGGGAGCGGAGGGAGGCCGGCGGCCTTCCGAGTGAAGGCCCAGCCGCATTCACCGGCGAAACGCGGCCCCATGCAAGAAGGGGGGGGGGGAGAACAACAACACATATTAAAACCAGCGAGTGCGAGTGCGAGTGCGAGAGAGAGAACAAAAATGCGAAATAAATGAGAGGACAGAAAACATAAACGAAAGAAGAGGAAGAGCTCTTCGTGATTAAACACATCGGAAAAAAAAAAGGAGCCACGGCAGCAACGAAACAATAAATTGAGTTATCCCCCACCTCGAGAACGTCTCCAACCTTGACTCGCATACATGCGCTAACAACGTGTAAACAATACGGTCGGAAATAGGGAGGTGGCGGTCCCGGGCGAAACTTCGAACAGGAATCGTAAACATAAAACACAAACACATTTGAAGGAAGCGAAGAAGAAGCAAAAAAAAAAACGAAAAATTTTTTTTTACTAATATTTCAGCACATGATCTTTCCCTATATTTCTTTTTCGCGACTTTCAACTGATGGGAAACACATCGTGATACGACAGCCCAAATTTGCAGGCCCTCTGAAGAAAAAAGAAGGTTGCACACTATAACTGCGTACAACCCACAAACAATTACAAGCACTATTTTAAAAGGCAAAGGTAATGCAGGCGTACAAGGAACTTGAGCAGCTCTTTACGAAACTCTATCGCTATGGACATCTTTTTTCTCTTGCCACGTGGGACGCCCGTGTCATGATGCCTCCGAAGGGTGCTGAGGCGCGTGCCATGGCTGTAGCCGAGTTAAATAAGCTCATCCACGCGATGCTTACAAAACCCAGGGTAAGGGAACTGCTTGACTTGGCGGAGCAACAAACTGATCAGTTGGATTCACTTCAGCGTGGTAACCTTCGTGAGATGCGTCGGGCCTGGCAGTTGGAAAACATGCTTCCCGGAGACTTCGTCGAGCGCAAAACAGTTCTTACAACAAAGGCTCAACAAGTGTGGAAGAAGTGCCGTGCGGAGAATAACTTTGAGGGATTTCTCCCGACAATGAAGCAGCTGGTTGAGCTGTACCGTGAGGAGGGGAAATTGCGTGCAGGGAACTCCGGCAAGCACCCGTACGAGGCCCTGGTGGATCTCTATGAGCCCGGCATGACGCTGCAGCGCCTGGACGAGGTCTTCAGTTACGTCAAGTCGTGGCTGCCTGGACTTCTGAAGGAGGTGCAGGCGAAGCAAAAGGCGCTCAACGAGAACATTGTGGATCCCAAGGGCCCGTTCCCTGTGGCAACACAGGAGGCGCTGGGTCGA